GGTTGGGGGGATGGCGGGGGGTGTGTGGGGGGGCGATCTCCCAGCCCGTGTGCGGGTCGGGGACACGCTCCCAGAGGGCAGCCTGCCCAGGGGGGCGGTGGAGTCGCCATCCCGGGAGGGATTCACGTGTGGACACGGCACTTGAGGGCATGCCCTAGTGCCCGAGAGCGTTGGGTTGTGTCCGTTTGTGGGTTTGTTTTTGTTTTATTTTGGTTTAGGTTTGTTTTGGTTTTTGTTTTTTTTGGTTTTTTTTGTGGTCGGACTCGATAATCTCAAATCTTCCAGCCATGAAGATTCTGTGATTCTGTGCCCGGCTCGGGGTGCAGTCACGGGCAAAACCTGCAGTCACCCCCCTGCCTTTCCCCCCAACCCTGGCACTGGCAGGATCAGGCCGGGACGGCAGCTGGAGCCCCTTTGCCATAAATGTACTTCTGCATCCCTGGAAAGGGGGAATATTCTCGAACCAGGGGAAAAAAAACCCAACAAACCCCACAAACCAACCCCGCGGTATGTGTACGTGCGCTGGCGCGTGGCCAGAGGCTGCAGTCAGCCTGATGCCACGGCAGCTCCTCGACACTGTGGCATCCACTGACAGAGACAACCAGAAGGGTCATCTTGCACATCTGGTGCAGCAGTAGGATTGAGGAACGGTACATAATTCAGCCTGGAGAAGAGAAGGCTCCGGGGAGACCTTATAGCAGCCTTCCAATATCTGAAGGGAGCTACAGGAGAGCTGGGGAGGGACTCTTTGTCAGGGAGTGCAGTGACAGGACAAGGGGGAACGGTTTTAAATTGGAAGAGGGGAGATACTAGAAAGAAATTCTTTGCTGTGAGGGTGGTGAGACACTGGCCCAGGTTGCCCAGAGAAGCTGTGGCTGCCCCATCCCTGGAGGGGGTCAAGGCCAGGCTGGATGGGGCTTGGAGCAACCTGGTCTGGTGGGAGGTGTCCCTGCTCAGGGCAGGGGGGTTGGAACTCCATGATCTTTAAGGTCACTTCCAACCCAAACTATTTTATGATTCTATCATTCTATCACCTTCCTGGTTCCTCCTGCACAAGTCCCTCAGTGTCTCAGCTCTCTGTTTGGTGTATAAAGATACTATATAACCTGTTCCACTGCTCTATCCAATCTCTTTAAATTAAGTTCCTGGAATAGGACCTCTGTGTTATTCATGAGAGTGACCTAGAAAGCAGGGCCCCGACTTTGTTTCACATGAACAAGGAAAGAGCAAATTAATAACTGAGTGTCTTGGGCACAGGTAAAGTGACTGGTTTGCTCTTTGCCTTGTTATATTCTTGAAACATGATGATGGTCCCTTTATTAATAAAAAATAAAACAAAACAAAACCAAAAAACCCCAAAAACCCCCTGAATTGCTGAAAAAGATGAGGAACTCTGCCATCCTGTGTATTCTTATATGATGATGCTTAATAAAAAGATGTTAAAATATATTTTATATTTTTTTATCTTTATAAAGATATTTCTTTCACCCCATGTATTGCAGACCATAGAAAATCTTTCCCTTTAGCAGCAGTGTGACTCATCTCCAGTTTTTAGACAAATCCCTATTTCCTCGACTCAGAAGGGATCCCCCTCCAACTGTTAAAACTCTTCAGAGTGGTATTAGGCTGTTGTGTTTTTTTTATTTATTTATTTTCCTTATTTTTTAGTCTATTTTTTTTTAAGGAAGGATTTTAAGGAAGGATTGTTTGCTTATTAGCATTTCCTCTGTGAAATGATCCTCTCTCACTGTTTTGCCATCTTCACCTTCTTAACTCTCGCCCACAGAGATGACACCAATATCAGTCTCAGAGTTACAGGTGTCCTTTTCTGCTGACTATAAAAGTATTCATTGAGATGGGGTAGATTTCTATGCATTTTTGTTTTTCACCTCACTTCAAAGCATTTTCATCTTCAAAACCAAGATTGCTTGCTTTTGCATTGCCTTCATGTTCTGAAATCCTTCTATATAGGATTTCAACCAGTTCCAAAGAGCTCTGTTCTGCCACCTCGGTCCCTAGCTAGGTCACTATTACCACTCATTTTCTGTTTCCTACAAATGAGTTTCACTCCTTGCTTCTTTTACATTCATCTTTCATTCTCCCTGATTATTTAATCAAGTTTCAAATTCCACTTTCTTGTCTTCTGTTCGTGATGAAGCACTGCATCATTTGGCTTCTCGACTTCCTTATGCCAGGCTGAAGCTTGACTCTGAAGACTGGCTGGATATTTCTCTGCCGGAGGTTCAGCCTTGCAAAGATCATCACACACAACACGCGTCTTACCGCTTCAGTAGGAGGCCAATAATTCCTCCTGGTACTTTAATTCCCATAGGCAGACATTTCAAGCAATTGTAATCATTCATACTTCAGAGATAAACAGAGAGCTCGTGTTTGTCGCGGCCATTAAACTCCCCTGTTGGAATACAGTATGATTGCCAACACGGTGGTATGATTGCCATCTTTAGACATCTGTTTTGGAGTCTCGTATGTTTGATGTATTGGTAAGTCAGCTCCTAACTGATGAGGGATTTTTTCCATGTAGTCAGTTATGATAAGTTCTGTTCCCTCAAAATGTTGACAACACAGCCGGGATAGACGGAATATTTCTTCTGTTGCCGATGTGCCTGTACCTGCCACTCTGCCAAGGTTTTCAAGTCCATCTTCCTCACAGCCCATGAGGATTTTAATAAACTGGATCAATTCTGTCATGTACTAGTAAGTATTTTCTTCCTGCCAGCAAACTTTCCAGAGAACTGACATCTATAGCTTTTATCAGGAGCTGTGATACGCGCCAGGGGTCAGCAGTACTCTTTGTTGAGTGGCCACTTCTGTAAAAAGCCTAAATCTGTTTCCTTAACCATTTATTTTTACTAGGTTGATTGTCAGCTCTCTGTGCTTTATCCAGGCTTAGGACTGGGCAATTGTGTTGAGTCAGAGCATGCTGACAGGGTAGTTCCCCTGTGTTTTTTACTGTGCTAATCAGTCAGTTTGAATGGTGTGTTTATATAGTACTTACACTGCAAATGCACCAAGGTAAGGACTACCTTTTGTTCCATATTTGTAGAGGTAATTTCATCTGTCTCCCAGTCTACAGCTGTACTGTTTTACACTTATATCAATAGTACATCATATTATTCTGGAATAAAAGAAAAGGTCTTGCAGTTTCACCCGAAATCATCTTGGTTGATCTTAAGAGAGTAAGAAATGTATTTTCCAGAGTTAAAAGTGGAACCCTAGGGCTAGAGCTACAAAGTCAAAATCTGTAGTTAAGAGCTTTAAAAGACTAACATTGGACACTTAAAATTCAGCTGGGCTGGCCATCTTGCCTAGACCATGCTTTTGCCAAGAAAGGTTGGACCAGATCATCCCTGAGGTCCCTTCCAAGCTGGTATTCTATGATTCTATGATTATGATCTTTGAAACAAAGAGGATACCATCTATCACTCCTTAAGAATGTGAAAACAAGTTTGCATCATGGTAGATATCAAACAACTGCATGATAAAAGAACATAGCCTGAGGAACAAGACATTTACAGGGAGGAAGATAAGGGTAACTATGCTCAGCTTTTCATGAACTAACTTTTAGAGTTTGGCTTCTAGAGTGAAATGTCCAAGCCTGTTTTAGATGCTTCAGGTCTCTCCCTACAGTGTCTGAGAGACAACCTTATCTCAAGGAATAGAATTGACACGGTCCCCCACAACATCCTGCTTGCCAAATTGGAGGGGTATGGATTTGATGGGTGGACTGTTCAGTGGATAAGGAACTGGCTGGATGGTCACATCCAGAGGGTGGTACTCAATGGCTGGAAGTCCAGATGGAGAGCGGTGACAAGTGGTGTCCCTCAAGGGTTCATGCTGGGGCCAATACTGCTTAACATTTTTATCAATGATATAGGCAGGGGGATTAAAGGCACCATCAGCAAGTTTGCAGACAATACCAAGCTGTGTGGTGTTGTCGATACACCAGAGGGATGGGATGTCATCCAAAAGGACCTGGACAGGCTGGAGAGGTGGGCCCAGGTGAACCTCATGAGGTTCAACAAGAGCAAATGCAAGGTTCTGCACCTGGGCTGGAACAATCCTCACCATCAGCACAGACTGAGGGGTGAGGTGTTGGAAAGCAGCCCTGAGGAAAGGGACCTGGGGGTGCTGGTGGATGAGAAGCTGGACATGAGCAGGCAGTGGGCAGCTGCAGCCCAGAAGGCCAATCACTTCCTGGGCTGCATCAATAGAAGTGTTGCCAGCAGGTCCAGAGAGGGGATTCTGACACTTTACTCTGCTCTGGTGAGACCTCACCTGGAGTATTGTGTGCAGGTCAGGTCATCAGGACATGGACCTGATGGAGAGGGTTCAGGGGAAGGCCACAAGGATGATCAGGGGGATGGAGCACCTCTGCTACGAGGACAGGCTGAGGGAGCTGGGGTTGTTCAGCCTGGAGAAGAGGAGGCTCCGGGGAGACCTAATAGCAGCCTTCCAGTACCTGAGGGGGCCTACAGGAAGGCTGGGGAGAACCTGTTTAGAAAGGCCTGTAGTGACAGGATGAGGGGCAATGGCTTCAAGCTGGAGGGGAACAGATTTAGACTGGAGATGAGGAGAGGGTTCTTCACTGTGAGGGTGGTGGAGCACTGGAACAGGTTGCCCAGGGAGGTGGTTGAGGCCCCTTCCCTGGAGATATTCAAGGTGAGGCTCAACAAGGCCCTGGGCAACCTGGTCTAGTTGGGGGTGTCCCTGCTGACTGCGGGGAGGTCGGACTAGATGGCCTTTGGAGGGCTTTTCCGGCCTGGACAATTTTATGATTCTATGATTCTCAAGTGCCAACAAATGGAGCAGGAAGGCATCAGAGAGTGTCAATAAGGGCTCTCTAGAGTTGAGATGGGCATTTCTGCTTGGGATTCACAGTCTAGACACTTCTTCCTGTGCTTGGTGCTTGAACTATTTTCTTGTAGTTAATGCCTGAATTATTTCCAAGGCTGCATAGAGATCACTCTTTGCTTTTAGAAAGACTTGGAAATGGAAGAAGCTCTTTTATACAGCAGCAACATTGTAATAGACCATTCAACCATGATACAGAAAACCTACTCTTCTGACCTTTTCTCTGCCTGGGCATACATTTCTATGGCCCTCTGACTTTTCTAGCTTAGCAAAAGCAAGAAACACAGAGAGTCAGGAGGACCTACTACTGCAAAGATGGGAAAAGCAAAGCCAGAGATAACTGGGCAGAGGTAGCACTCCTGTTTTGCGTGGAACTGGGCTCACTCTTCCCAACTGGCAAGCAATATGCACAGGACTGGTGCAAGCCTGCTCTGTGAGCTAAGACTGAAGCCTGCTTAAATTTTAGATTCACTTCCAAGCATTTAAGACTGCTTAGATTTACTTAGAAAACCATGGCTGCTTCATTTTTCCTCCGGGAACCACTCAACGGCTTTGTGTGGTAAGCTGGATGGGTCTCCAGGCTGGTAAGGTCACCAGACACAGCAAAGGGGGTTAAGACAAGTACCAGTGACTGGGAATCAGACTGAAAAATGCTTTTCTTGCCAGGAAACCTGCTTTACATATACATGAAATATAGCCTGAATTTCTTTGTGGGTCTAACCCAAGATCACACAAAAAATCTGCAGCAGAAGAGAACCAAACCCTTAAGCACCAGTACAGCGCCTAAAGGAAGGCAGCAGTGGTTTTGTGTCTGTTTTAGGCAAACCTTCTCTTGATTCAACAGAGAGACATTGGACAACACACAAGAACCAGAAAGTAACACCAACCCGATTGCTCTAAGGAAAGGACTACATAGAGGGCAAAAAACAAAGGAAAAATTCAATTCCTTTCAGCCCTATTAGTCTCTAATGTGAACTGGAACTGAATAAGTGGATATTTTAAAATATACATGCTATCTAATATAAAATATAAAGTGCCACATTCTTCCCTCCGAGACGCCAGGGAATTGTACTGTACTGCCAGGGAACTGTGTATTGAGTAATAGTGGAATTACTCAAGAGAGGAATTAGTCTTTTGGAAATGATTCACCAACTGCTGCCATTGTTTAGTATTTTCCTTGTCACAGGATACAAAGTAAGCATCCGTGGAACATAGGAAATATCCTGCAGTATTTCAGCATTAAAAATATCAGTGTTCTAAAGGATCTTGGCATTTCTGAATGGAACTGACTGGAGCATAACTTTATTTCAACTGAAATATCTATCATTTGTGAAGGATGAGCTGCTAAATAAAGGTAATTTCTTTTTTTTTTTCAGATTCACAGCCAAGCAAAGCACTTCTTCACCAATGCCACTAGCAATGCTATTAAAAAAATAAAAATAAAAAGGCCCTTGTATTTCAAATAGCACTTGTTTAGACTTCAGTCCCTATTATTTTCTGTTTATTTTTTCTGCTTTAGATGTACTATTTAATACTTATCCCTTACAACAAATGTATGTTGCTAGTGGGCATTCTCTGTGGATGGTGAGAAGAGTTGGGTCACCAGGCAGCAGAATGGAGGCATGAGCACGGAAATCGTTACCATGGCACTCATCCGTTCAGGTTTTTACACCAAAGATGCAGTCAGGAATTTCCCTGAAATTCTCTCAGGTGAAATAAGTGACAAAACCTGAAGAGGGCTCAGGCTGTGCTGGAGTGCTCTGCCTCCTGCCAAACCTCCTGCTGGGGATGTTTCTTCCACACAAATGCATCGTGCACCCCCAGCCAGCATTTTCTTGCGTAGCTCTGTCTAGATGAGAGTATACCGGGTGCTTTTAAATCAGCATATATTTTTAAATCCTGGTACAGACAGGCTGAGCTGAATTTTAGTACATAATAACGAGGTAAGATGAATGGTAACCCACAGGGAAGACTTGCACTAAGTATCCAACTGTATAAAATTCATCACGTTATTGAAACTCCATCCCTTTTGCCTAGTTTCAAGTTCTGTCATAAATCAGCATGCGTTCATTAGAGTGTTTGCTAAACATTGTGTCTTTTGTCATAAACCTTGGCTCAAGTCCGCATGTATGCCGGTAGATTTATATTTGTATAAATCTAATCTGGTTAAGACTTCTGTTGCTCTTTGTTTGAACACACAGATTCCAGCCTTTGTGCAGAGGTTTTACCAGAAATAGTTTGAAGCCAAGCTCCGAGAGAATCTCAGGGCCTGGCAGCTCCTTTGAAACAAGGGTTTAAAAAATGGTTTGCACAACGTCCCAGGAACAGAAACTGTAATATTTCACCTCTTTTTACCATGTTGCTGGGATGGGGCTGAAACCAGAATCTTGGACCCAACTGTCCTAAACCTCGGAGAAGGTCAGATTCATTAAAAACCTGACATATTGCTCCAAACCAAAATCTGACCACTAATAGCTGTTTTTGACAAAACGGTTCTCTCAAAAAATGCTGTTTTGTTAGACTTCAGACATTTTGCAAGAATGTTTTGATTTCAAGGAAATTTTAAAGGAGAAAGTGAGCACAGTAATTCAGCAATGTCAAAAAGATTTGCTTTGATATTTTTTTTCAAAGTACTTACATTTCATTATTTCACGATTCATTACATTAGTACTGCATAACTTTTATACTATAATAAGAGTTACAGCGACGTATTCTGGCATTAGCAAAATACTTTGTTAAAATTTTGACCTTAATAGCGCTGTAAGAAAGGGAAAACACATGTACATATCTAATTAAAATGAGATAAGGGCAATTTCAACACAGGCCTGTGCGACTCAGTTTATTCACAGGGAGCGCAGCGCAGGCACAGAGCTCCCGCCGAGGTCGTTAGGGCTGACGTTGCAGGGGATTGTGCTGCACATTTGATTAAATAAGCTGATTGATGTTCAAAGGAGGACGAAGGCAGGTTCATAACTCACGTGGGAAACTGCAGGCGGCTTCTCCTCAGCTGGTGGTTGTCATCTTCCAACTGCTCTGTCGGGGATAACGGAAAACACAGATGATTTAAGCGAACATCTTAGACTTTAGGTGTAGCAGAGAAGTGCTTGACACAGTTAGCACTGGTCTCGTCCCACGCCCGAGACAGGCCGGGTCGGTGGTAGCAGCAACCATCCGCTGTGTCCTTCTGCATCATCATGGCTGCATCATCAAGGAGCGCTTAATTGCCACATCTGGCCCACGGGGAGTATCTCTCTCTCTTCCCTCCTACAATCTACTTGGGGAAGGGAAAATGCAGACAGGAGGCCCAACTGTCTGTCCCCTCTTGTCTAGCCTGTATTTACACGAGGGTTGTGTCCCTCTCTGATCTGACCCGACTTCACCACCACTGACAGAGCAGAAGAAGGGAGAAACGATCCAAGAACAGGCACTAGCCTTGGCTGGGACATCGCAGCTAACACCACTGTCTCCCACAGCTGTTCAAACAGCATAAATGCTCAAACTTCAGCTCGACCCAGGACATTGACTGTCCTCCCTGGCTCAGGGCTGAGAGGGGACTTCAAGACAGTCAGCAGAGAAGCATGGGACAATAACAGCGTGGACACCCGGTGACCCATGAACAAAGCCAATGTGCAGTGCAGTTTTAGACAGGCTGATCTGACCACAGAACCAGATCTGTGGCATTTTCAGTCCTTTCCAGGACTGCTTTCCTTAACTATCTAGATATTCTGTCTGGTCTTTGCATATTCTGAGTACTAGAACCGTATATTCCATATAAGCTAAAAATAGTTCCAAATATCAATATATATCTCTTATTTTATAAGGAAAAGGTGTCTGTTTTTGTTTGTATTTGGCAAAAAAGGGGTTAATGCCTGATGATGAATCCTTTGTGCTAGGAAGCTCTTGGATTGTGCCATTACCACTGCCAGCCCAGGTGGAAAACTTCAGGTACCGTTTCTGTTTATAACAAGAATTATTAAAAAGATCGTTCCCTTCCTTTGTAGCAGGTACGTTTATATGTCTTTTACCAAAAGGTCTGCAAAGACATCCATGTTCTCACAGAAAACAGGCAAGCACCTTTTTGTTTTCCAGGAAGAAATTTGAGAAGACTGATGAAAAGAATCGCTAAATAACATGAAGTGCTGTTCTGATACTGGCCAGAGACTCCTTGCCAACTGTAAAAGCCTCTTGATCCCTCCTTGCAGAGCACATGGAACAGTCGGTCACTGCTTTGCAGGTAAGACTCGGGTATTATTTCCTTCTTCCAAAATGTTTGTGATTTAAAACTTCAGCATTAAATTATACATACGCATTTCCCTTGGAAAGGTCAAAGCAAAATTAGGGGGAAGCTGGCAGAAGACTCTGAAATTTAAGAGAGAGAAGTTTTCGGTTTTTAAAGGAAATTGCCTGAAGCAGCCATTTATTTATTTCAATCTCTTTGTATTTCATTAAATACAAAGTTTCCCTGCAGCTATTCCTGCTTTTGTAATTTATTTAGAAACAGAGAAGGGAGAAAGAATGACAAGTAATGAAAAGGAAAAAAGGGTGCTTGGTTGAAGTGCGCAGCAGAAGAACAGAATAAAAACATGAAGGTGCTGATAGAGACTAGTAACGTGTCTATTGACAAACGCTGGCAAACAAAAAGAGATTTAAAATATACACTGAAAATATACAGATCTGTAGAAAACGCGACTGGTTATCCCAGCCCAATTTTGCCAGTACCTAATTAAGCATTATGCACAGTGACTATGCACACTTACTGTTGTTTGACGAGTGCCTCAACGGAAGTAAGAGGTATTTAAGAATTTGTTGCTTTATTCAAAACAGAGGAGCCTTATTGGATGGTCTGAAAGACGCTCAGGTGTGTTCACAGCCAGTCTCACACTTTATCTCATTCTCTGGAGAGAGCCTGACTGAAATTGAAAAAATTCATATGGGTATTTCAGGTCAATGTAACTGAAGCAGCTCACAAGACTAGTCCTTTATTTTTTTTTTTTTTTTTTTCCTTGGAAAGGAAGAAGTAAACATGTTTGTTATTTACACATACACTTTGCAAGGCATCAAGTGTATAAAAACAGAGGAGCTGAGACAGTGTAATCTTTATGTAACTACAAATACATAGAGTATTAAAGCTACCTATTATATCTAATTTTTTGTTTATGCAAATAATTCTAAGTATTTCAATAAGCTAAAGACATATTCAGCTTTATCCAATATAAATACTTGTTTTGTATCCATTTGATCATCTTGTTCCAGGCTTCGCCAAGTTATTTATTCAGAATCTTCTAGATTTCTCTTCTTAGAGATATGGGAAGAAGAGGAGTGAGGAAAGCAATCAGGAATCAACATTTTTGCATGCAAGTCTTAACAGAACAAAATAGATCCCAAATTCATACTAAATGCTGGAAGTAATGCCAAAACACAGGCATACCTGAAAATTCTTGAGTGTGTCCCGTGTCCAGTGATGCCTTGGAATATTCGGAAAGCTGAAACAAAAATTTTAGAAAAATACACTGTCAATAGCGCCTGTAGCAATGGTAGATAAATGCTTAAAAACATCCCTGTGCAGTCCACTGAATGCAAACTAACAGGTGTATTGAAACAGGTTTAAGGTTTTAAGTAGTGGTTTTCACACAGAGATGGAAATAAAAATAAAGCACAGCAAACTACCAGAACTATATAAAACAACACAAGTATCAAGAGCTGGTTTTCAGGACAGAGGCATAAAGAATCACCCACTTATGTTCTTTCTTACAATTTTATCCTAATTATAGCCAGTACTTCCACTGAACAAATAAATGCCTTGGTCTTGCTGTTGGATCAACAGGAGGTAACCTTCTATAAGCTCTATTACCTTCTGAGGAGCTCTGTATGGAATAAAATCGTATACACGTCATCATATTTCTAAACTGGGGGCCTTGTTTTGCAAAACAAACACCAGCTATAATGACTAAAGAATTAAAGAATCAAAATAGGTTGAAGTCTTCCTCACCATGTCACTGATCTGTATTTGCAGAACTGGGAATCTCCTTGATTCTAAATTTGAGGGGAAAAAATGCTGTCTAAAATATTTTAATATATTTAACACACAACTTTTATTGCACATTACTGTATTTCTCTCTGAATCTCTCAACCTCTCAATCTCACTCTCTGGGGAGACCTAATAGCAGCCTTCCAGTACCTGAGGGGGGATACAGGAAGGCTGGGGAGAGCCTGTTTAGAAAGGCCTGCAGTGACAGGACGAGGGGCAATGGCTTCAAGCTGGAGGGGAACAGATTTAGACTGGAGATGAGGAGAGGGTTCTTCACTGTGAGGGTGGTGGAGCACTGGAACAGGTTGCCCAGGGAGGTGGTTGAGGCCCCATCCCTGGAGATATTCAAGGTGAGGCTCGATGAGGCCCTGGGCAACCTGGTCTGGTTGGGGGTGTCCCTGCTGACTGTGGGGGGGTCAGACTAGATGGCCTTTGGAGGTCTTTTCCGGCCTGGACAACTCTATGACTCTAGTCCATCACATTTAAATGAACTCACGTACTCTAATATTTTAAAGCCCATAGGGAAGTGGGAATCAGGGATCACACTGGATCCTTTTAAGAAATAAAACACCTTGGGAGTTTCAGGTTTCTGACCAGGTCCTTGAAAAATTCCTGTATGCCAACTATATTTTCTTTCTTGCGCTCTCACAGGCCTTTTCCAAGCTTAAACACAAGCAGAAGAACCCACACAGACTGTTCAATATTCTTAAACTTATGGAAGATTAGGGGGCAGGACTTCGATTACCTACCTAGTCCGGAGATGGATGTAGGTCACAGCTTTCTCCACTCATACTCATCTGTTCCTAGATCTTCACAAATAAAATCCTATTACCTTTGCAACCAAAACAGCAGGGAGAAGAGGAACAAATTTCCACCTCTGGCTGGCAGACAGACTTAGATAGTTCAGTTTGTTAGAAAAGAAGGAAACTGTGTTAGCAGCCACCAGCTAATTCAAAAAGTGTTATGAAACTAAACTGAGCTGTTTCTTCTGTGTTTAGCGTAACAGTGTGGCTCTCAACAAAGTGGCAGACCCACCTGATCTCACGTGGCTGCACCACGTACTTTCAGGGCTGAGGTGAGACAATATGCTGAGCTTACCATTATTCATCACGTATTAAGGCTGTCTGCCCAGTTTGGTCTCAGAGCGACACGAAACACAAACTTGGGACCGCAGAAACAAGTTCTCTGCATGACTAAAGGCAACCTCTGCCTGTTGTCTCCCCAAAACGGTCTCCAAATATTGAGTTAGGGAACAACAATAGTAACTATTATAACCGTACGTAGCTCATCAAATGGCTGCTTCCTTCCAGCAGCTGCCCAAACAGCACCATGGGAATTGCTTGGAAGAAACGTCCCCTGGCTCACGCCCCTGGCAGAGTCAGCGGTATCCTCATCGCTCAAGAGATTGTCTCTTAAAATGCTGGTCCAAACTTTAGCGCATCCGCGGAGGACTCAGCGTGCTGAGTAAGCACTTCCATCATTCCACTGACGAGATGGTTCTGCTGGTGGCCATAGCGGAGGCGCTGATGGTGCTGGGTCTGGCTGTGGAGTCAGACTCTCTCTGCTCACCCACGACCTTCTACAAGAACTGCTGGATCCGACGCTTCCCGGGTCTTCTGATTGACCTGCAGGAGTCGCAGAAGAGGGGAGCCCAGGTGCTGAAGGTTTACGCTGAAGTCTCTCCTCAACAGTGCAGCAGAAGCTGCTGCCTTCTGAGGAACGGTGAGTGTTTATTATCAAGATTGTGGCATACATCGTGATGTATCAGGCAAACCATTTGGGGTATTTTTTACAGACACTTTCCTTTATTTGAAGAAGAAATATTGCAAAAAAGTTGGGATATATGTATATTTTGAGGCAGGAAAGCAGAGACACATTGTAACTGTTCAAAAAGTTGGGATATATGTATATTTTGAGGCCGAAAGCAGAGGCACATTGTAACTGTTGCACCTTCTTCAATCCCATAGAAAGGAACTTGATAATCTGGATATTTTAGAAGACTACACTAGAAACACATTAAAATCTTAGCATCTGCTTTGAAATTTCAGATCCTTGTCACCAAGTTTGCTGGTGATTCTACCACTAAAACAATGATTCTTCAGTATCCATCACTATCTACTCCTGTGGAGAAAAATCAGTGGCAGTGATTTCAACAGGACTGGTCTTCATGGAGTACGGCACGAGAGTAGGACATGGTGAGGGAACACATCATTGGGCCTCCTCTGAGTGACAAGAATATTAATTGACTTGGAGAGAGCTCCCTCTTGTTCTGTGTTCACACTATGTTTCTGATACAACCGAGGTATAACATTACTGTGAGCAACACAGTTACAGTAATAAATAGCAGTTCCTCAGGTGGCATCACCTTTTCCCTAGCTTTGTAAACTCAGACTTCTCAGTAATTCTGAGTATTCTCAGTAATAGCACAGTTACTGAGAGCTAATCGTACAAGATAAAAAGAAATTTTGAAATAATTTAAAAGCAAGCAATAAAATATGTTCCTTGTATCTCCTCAAACCAAGCCAACATACCTTATAACATGCTTTTAAAGCATTCTTCTATCCTCCTTACTAAAAACAGGTTTGTACTTATTTTTCTTAACCAATTTTATGTGATAAAATCCAACACAGATCTCAAAGAGAATATATTCACAGAAGCCAAGTTGTTCAGGTAAGATTATCATACTATTTAATGTTTTCCTGAAGCATGCAAAGTAATCATTACAATAAAAACAATTTATAATTATGTTATGCTAAAAACCAGAGACAACAGAACTTTGCATGCATACATTCAAAATTGGATGGAAAGGTTTCTAAGATTTCTCTCCCCCTTCTAACAAATACATGTATTTTCAGGTGTTTTATATATTCTTAAATAAGTTAGTCTCTGTATCAGAAACCTGCATAGTATTCATGTACCACAGTAAACCCTAAACATGTAGTATACTATTAGCACAAAACATCCATTCCTTGACAAAATCCAGGACACTGTATACCTGGGTCTTAAGGCCAGGGTACATACTGCTACAACATGGGATGCAAGTGAAAACCAGTTTTCTGTTGGAAGAAAATCATCACTGTTAGCAAATATCTGAAAATGGTGATTTTTCAAACGACGACTTCAATAAGACCACATTGTTAGAGTTTGCAGAGTGTTTAAGAATCCTTGAACAAAAGATACCACAGAAAAGCAAGTACTACATAGATATTTCATAGAAATATTTGAAGGGGTCTGTCTTTTAAACTGCTAACTTATGCTAAAAGTGATGCAAAATGTTTACTGATGCCTAGAACTATTTCTGTATTCAGAATTACTTTCCTTAAAATAGTAATTGGATTTTAAATTCCTTTATCTGTAGAAGAATGTTTTTTATACCTTGCCTGTAGTTCTCTAGAAGTATATCAAAATAATTATGTACTAGCAAAAGTTGCTTCTTTAACACTGCATAATGTTTCTAATCTGCTAAAGAAAAATATAAGCCAATTGGTATATAATAAAGCCAGGGCTTTGCATACTCCCTGTGAGATTATCATTTTGTCTCTCACAAGTGATGTTCTTCTATTGTTCTGATAATCATAACCTTCTTTGTACCAGTCTTACTTTGATAAACACCTACTCTAAGCTCAAGTTCCTATGACATGGAACTGGAAACTGATGAAGCCTAACTAGAGGTAGACGTAGGGCATGAAAATTACATCAGTGAAAGAAAAAATTCCGATTATCATCTTTGGTTTAGCTTTGATGACAAATTGTATCTTTACGTTGCTACTGTTACTTTAGGATTCCAGACTTGTCAATGTTACTGGTTTTAACTAGGCAGACAACCTTGATGTGTAAGTAGCTAAAAAACACAAGACAATCCAAATTCCCTAACAGCGCTTCTACCGTGATTTTTTTCTTTCATGGAACTGCTGAATTTGTATTGTTCAGACAGCAAGCATTTTCATTGCCAAATTTTATTTAATTAATCATACTGTATTGTTCAGACAGCAAGCATTTTCATTGTGAAATTTTATTTAATTAATCATACGCTGGAGCGGGTGCAGAGGAGGCAACGAAGCTGGTGAGGGGGCTGGAAAACAAATCGTATGAGGAGCGGCTGAGGGAGCTGGGGCTGTTTAGTGTGAGGAAGAGGAGGCTGAGGGGAGACCTCATCACTCTCTACAACTACTTGAAAGGACACTGTAGAGAGGTTGGTGCTGGTCTCTTCTCACAGGTAATTAACGACAGAACGAGAGGGGATGGCTTCAAGCTCCAACAGGGTAGGTTTAGATTGAACATTAGGAAGGAATTTTTCACAGAGAGAGTGGTCGGGCATTGGAACAGGCTGCCCAGGGAGGGGGTGGAGTCACCATCCCTGGATGTGTTTAAGGGCCGTTTAGATGCAGTGCTGAGGGACATGGTGTAGGGGAGGACTTTGTAGAGTAGGGGAGATGGTTGGACTCGATGATCCCAAGGGTCTCTTCCAACCTGAACAATTCTATGATTCTGTGATTCTATGATATACATCTTTGGAAAATAATGCTTCTGTCTTAGGGGAGGTGAGTTCATTATGGTGGAAAAAGGCATTTTCAAGGTGTGTGTTTACTGTGTTAAATCTATGATGCAGTATTGAGGCTACTAGATGAAAAAATAATAATAACAGAAAATATAGTAAGCACAGGTTTAGTGTATTTTGTTCCTTTTCTTGTTTGTATATAGGTTAGAGATTTTTTATTAGTTACATATAAAATGGAAAGTGCTGCATGACTTCATCTGTTATTCATTGCAGAACTATTGCAAATTATTTTCATTACTTACAATTGTGACAAAAATGTTTGGAATAAATACTTAAGTAAACAGAATACATTTATAAAGCTAGGTAGTCTCCTAACTATGTAAAATAAAGCTTTTTCACAAGAGTGTTATGCAAATACACAGTAACTAAAATGCTTTTCCAATATTTAAAAGCAAATAAAAATCACAAAATTATTTTATAATTGTTTGCCTGAAGCAACTCTTCAGCCCCATTAATTCACATGTTCTAGACAGTTACATTAACAAATGCAGGTCTTATCTTAAAAACTTATTTCATAGACAAATTGTCTGATTTAGAGTCAGAAGGGATGCTACAGTCTTCTGAAGTACAAAGCTTGAGAGTCAGAACAAGTACTTTCTGCTACTGAATGTCCCCTGCCCTGCCAATACTTTTTTGAATTGCAGGTAGTCATTCCCATTAATTAGTTCAGGTATGGAGGTTATATTCAAGACAGGTAAAATAAAAGAAATAAACCCCCCAAACTTCATACAACTGAAACAAAACCTAACATTAACCCCGCTCCAAGCACACTGATATAAAATAAAATTAAATTTTGACTTGATATCTTGACTTGAGATTTTGATGACCTGTGAGATTCTGAAAGAAGAATCTTTCCTGCTTTTTATATATTGTGTCTCTAAATGTAAGTATTAGGGCATATATTTTAAATCTAAATCTTAAATCACTAGGATTTGGGCATCTACCTACTTTTGAAAATTGGTTTCCAGTGACAAGTTGTTCAGGCATTTTTTCATTATTACTTTCACCCTGATTTCCAATGCGGGAAGATAGAACTGAACCTTCAAACATAAATAATTAGTTTGCACAGTAATGACAGAACCACAGATTTACAGGAGTATGGAGCTCCCCAGTAATAATGATCTTCTGATGTTAAATAATGTAATAACATGCACGACGCAATGTTCATTGTGTTGGTGAGCTCAGCTTTATTCTTTTTGTATTACAGTTTCCTGCAATCTGGCAGTGTTCTACCTTGGACCTATCCACGAGAATATGAACTGCCTGCACGTGTCTTGCCCAGCGCTGGAAAGTTGCATACTAAAGGCTAGAATCAATGTCATTTTGTACAACATCACGACAGGTAACTGTTTCGTTTATGAAGACTGAAAACACAGCAACTACAGGAAATGTTAAGATGATACTAAGTCAGTTACTGTGCTAAAAGGTCTTCTGAAATAACATGCAACGCTAAAAAAGCTCAAGGCTTTTTTTTCCTTTTTTCATTAATGCAGCTACTTCTGAGAATACTTCCCCCTTTTCTTCCACTCAGTATTTGAGGAAGGACCTTGAGGGTTCTCAGCCATTGGGATGGGCTGCCCAGGGAGGTGGTTGAGGCCCCATCCCTGGAGGTGTTCAAAAGATGGGTTGATGTAGTGCTGGGAGGTCTGGTTTAGTGATGGGGATGCTTCTTGTTTGTTGTGCGGGTGTCTATTTTTGTCAGTGAGGTTGATGGTTGGACAAGATGATCTTTAAGGTCCCTTCCAACCCAGAAGATTCTGTGATACACCCTGCTTTAAAAATTCGTGTGCCTCTGATACCTAATCAACGCTTTGCTTGAGGAAAATACCAGATCTGAGAGCCTGGGGGACGAGGCTGCCCAACGCTCCGTGTCCCCAGATCCAACCAGTAGCAAGGCTGAAAAGTATTCCACTTAGGCAGAGGGACACAGAGGGCACATACACACCCCGAGCACACAGAAAGAGGCGGCCAGCAGCACAGGTTACACAGACACACGCACAAAGGAGACCCAGGAACACGGGCAGCACCAAGAGCTGCATCCTCCTTTCTCCGGCTGCATAGGACAGAGACCGGCTGGTGAAGCATAGAACTACGTATATGTGCAATGTATATACAATGTGCAATGTGAACTCCCCCCCAGCAGCTGGGTTTAGATGCTCAGTCTGCCCAGTAGCTACCCCTGGACCCCCTGTTGCTGGTACAGACTGTCACACACACACACAGAGCTGGCCAGGACTCCACTACTCCCCCGATTCCTCCCTTTCCTCACCTTTGGTTCCTGCAGTGACACTCCCAGCCCAGAAGGTGTTGATAGGTATTATCTGGGCTTCCTGACCTACCACTGCCTCTGTGTGCTCCTTTTGTGGGTGTGCAGATGAGCTTTTGTCACACAAACTAACACGCTTTATGATTTAATAGGGATCGACCCAGATCTTCTTATTTTTGGAAAACTGACATCCAAAGAACCAAATACTCCCTCCTCACTGAGTAAGTATGAAAGGCAAAACAGCACAGAGGCCACCCAGTGGGAGAGATGTCAGCACCATAATGCCACGTCAAGTTCTCTTCTGCTCCAAGCTCCATCTTCTACCACTAGCCACGGCTTAAGAGCAAGCGCTTATACCTCCAGTACAAGCCTGATGGTCAAAAGATCTGAAATTACCACTTATTCCAGGGAAAAAACAATTCCACTGGCTGATCATTTTGCTAAGAGGACAAGCACAACTTCAGTAAGCTCTCAGTCAATCACCAGCCTGGACAAAAAGACTGTGCCCTCAACTTCGATGCCCAACTCTGCCGAGGTATTATCCCACATGCCCACTCCTCCTCGTCTGAACAGCAGTAAACAACACCTGAATGAAACCAAAGGCTACAGCGGTAGGAATTATACTTCGGATAAGGAAGCACCTGCTTGGGAAGCCACAGCTTTGGGTGTCTGGTTGATTCCCGTTGTTCTTTGCTCTTCCCTCGTCTTCCTTTGCTGTTGTACTGCTGCTTTCACAGCAGGGCGTTGCAGAAACAGGACAGGTCAGTATAGGCCCGTAAGGAGAAGGAGAACAACGTCGAGACAATACATAAAATATACTACTGTCAAAGGTAATTTGTAAAATACTGTTCACCATCCTTGTTTTGGAACAAACAGCTTTTTTAAGAACCGAATTGTATATACCAGCTTATTTCTTTCACAGAATCAAAGATAACTTTTTCACTGACGGTTTCAGAGTATTTTGATTCTCAATTTAATATTTCTCAACAGATGAAACACAATTCCCCTGTCTCTTTGGGTAAGAGGTACACACTTATAGCTCCCACTGCATGCTTAGAGGTGTTAGAACACAGTTTGGCTCATAATCTGACCCAAACTAATGCCTGACAAGCACTCTCCACTTTCCCTAACTTAAGAAAGCAGATTCACTGCAGCTGTACGTATTCTTTCTCCTGACCTTGAACCTCAGAAAATTAAGTGCAATCAGTAAAATTGACTAGAACTTTATAGAATCACAAAATCATTTAACTCTCATTATCCTTTAATTGCCTCAGATCTAATTGTTTCTATAAAAACTGTCCATTTTTCTCCAAGTTCTAGTTTGACCTTTTTTCCCCATTTATCCCTAATATTGAGGCAAAACAATTTAGCCAGCACTCTTTACTTGGACAAAGAAAAACATCAAAAACAACCCAAGTCCCCAAACCCACTGAATTCCATGAACACATCTGAGCATGCGATCCTGATGCTTTACCTTCCCCCCTCTTCCCACTTTACTCTTCTGATGACAATCATTTCAAATGTTTTTCAAGCCCCTCCAGTAGCACCTTCAGAATTCAACTGCTCTTGTAAAGTTACTTGCCCTGCACTGCATTAGCCATTCCCTTACCGGCTAAGGAAAACACAAACGTGGCTAACATTTGTTCAGGCCTTGCAATTAGCATCAGTGTTGTCCACCTGGACTTGCTTTCTCTTGCCTACTCATATTTACCCTTTGCATCATTAGCTTTTTTAAAACAGGAATAGTCATTTCATGTACGTTGCACAGGAATAGACAAAATGTTTTGAAAGCTCTAGAAGTTAGCTTTATAATAAAAAAATCTTTTTTTTTTTTTTTTTGGTGTTTCTTCATCCTGTATACTCTATTCATAAGAGTGCTCCTCCTGAACATAAATCAAGCGACTAGATCAACAAGGCAGCAAGGTATTTCCTTGCCTTGCCTTACTCAGGAAGTTTGCTCAGCAAAGCAAACGTTTTCAACAGTAACCAGGATTGTTCTTCTTCTTTTAAACTTGTTGAAGCCTCAGCATTTCTCACTTTCTTCCCTTGCTGCAAGAAGTTTCTATTTCCCAGACAAGTGTAAATGTTACAAAAGGAAACAACACAAAATAAAACTGATTGTCACATGTCTGTGGGGCAGAAAATTGTTTTAAAACTAGTAAGATTCATGCAACGTTCAAAGTCTACAGTGATGAGGCAGAAGGCCACATGAATACGTAATTACAGTAGAGCAGGTTGGTTTCAGAGGAAAATCCTCTCTCAAATTATATTTTAAGCCACATTGATCAGGACTGTCATTTAGAAAACTGAAATTAAAAAACCACTTGTTTATACTATTTGATTGACCTTGTATGCTAATGAATATGTAACAGAAGAGAGGTTGACACAGCATAAGAACATTTTAAAGGAGTGGGATTATTTCATCGGTTGAAATAATACAAAAGAAGTTCCTTCTGCTTTAGCCAGAAGAATCAGAATGAGTTAAGAATTGTTTGTAAGGGCAATTCTATGCTTATATGTAAAGTGAAACAAACTATAGACAGATACATCACTGCATTATTCTCATTTTGCAAAATATAAGAATAATTTTGCAAATTACTACTTCAAATTTCAACAAGCTGACTTCTATCATCAAAGCGCACTTTTCTAATTCATCACGTGGCTGAATCTAGCAGAGTTTAACTATCACTAAAAATTTCAACTAAGAATGATGAGACCCCATGGGCTCTTCTAAGTTAGAGGAAATTGACATGTACACTTTTCCAGGTTTTTAAGATCAGAAAGGAAAGGATTTAGGAGAAAGGAACCAAGATATATTGCATCAAAGCACGAACGTGGTGATACGTGTAAATAACAAATGTATTTTTCATGTGCTCATCCTCTTTGGATAATCTTCACAGATCTGACCCCGAAATGGAAAAGTCTCAGGTCTGATTCATTTCATTAGGAAACAAAGGCACATGTATAGAATCATAGAATCATAGAATCGTTCAGGTTGGAAGAGACCCTTGGGATCATCGAGTCCAACCATCTCCCCTACTCTACAAAGTCCTCCCCTACACCATGTCCCTCAGTGCCCCATCTAAACGTCCCTTAAACACAGCCAGGGATGGGGACTCCACCCCCTCCCTGGGCAGCCTGTTCCAATGCCCGACCACTCTCTCTGTGAAAAATTCCTTCCTAATGTTCAGTCTAAACCTGCCCTGTTGGAGCTGTGTGTCAGAGGAGGAACTCGATTTCTCAACCTGTAGATTACTGTGATGCACTTTCTATCCTTTCACCTCAACTCGCACTGGCCATGGTGATGGGCACTGAGACCATCAGTATGATCTTTTGTAGACTAGGAGCTGCAGACCAAGTGGTTCCGGATTCTCTTTGTACAGTGGTCTACCAACCAAATCCTGAAGGAAAAGTTCATAGCTTGGTGAAACACCTTTCTGTTAAAGACACAAGTAGACATAACCAATTTCCGTCTACAAAGTCTTAATCAGAAAACAAAAACTTTGCAAACTTCATGTTTTGATCTCTACCACAGGTAACATTTAGATGCTTCACACATCATGACAACCTGATCAAATATATCAAGTAAAAAAACCTGATTAACCACATGCTCCAAGACAAGTATTGGTATTTTTCATCTCACTCCGTACTGATGACAAGCACATGTTGTCAAGGGATTCTCCCACAGAACACTTCAGCCAGTGTTGTCACATCAATTGGCAATGAAAGTCCTTTTTAAATGATCTTTTTCTCCCCATAATTTTTAAAACCATGTATCCCAGGAAAACGTATTTTAAAACCAACTTACATCTAAAATGTAAAGGTACCTCAAAGGCAGATCCAAAATCCAGCTAGTTACCTTTCTGCTTATCCACTTGCTACCAGATGAATAAACATCCAATGTGATGCAGTAATACATAAACGTCTTAAGAAATTGTCTCTTTGAAATGGTCAAAATAATAAACATGGTGACGTGTACGTTCGCCGCCAAAAAAGGGCTCAGTAAAAAACACACTTTGAAGAACTTTGCGGTTTTATATGCATAGGAGTTAAAAAGCCTAAACCCAGCCTCAGAAAAATACTTTGTAAGAGAACCAGATCTGCACACCCTGATGCCTTTCTTCAGGCTTAACGGAGCCATTAAAATTCTGCTTGTGTTCACATTATAGGCTCAGTAGCTTCCAGACAAAGAGAAGATGCTACTTGAGAAATTAAGGCACTTCAAAGTGCACAAACATTATTTTCAAGACCTTGCAGCACTGAATTCCAAAGATGATTTATCCTGAAAACATCGGAACATACTAAAATTATTATTGCATGCAATTTTTAGGCTACAGAATCCACATGCAGGCAGCTTAGTCCAATTCAGGTAGAAAAATCATGTTCTGTTTCCCTGAAAATTCCCCCCTAGCTTCAGCTGCATTTCGTTTTTTCTCAGCCTAGAGTTTTGCCAAAGCATTGCTGAATATTAGTTCAGTTACAGAGACATAAGCATTTTGTGTTATATTTAGTTACTTCATACTTTGGATTTTTTAAAATTTGAATATATTTTTTTTCCCCATTTTTCAGGTTTTTAGGAAAAGAGAGTGCAGAACATCTCTTTCTCCCTGCTTCACATAGTAAGATTTGCAGAACTGTTTAACAGTTTGAGGCAGCAGTACTGTAGCACAGCACCCTTTATTGTCCTGAGAAGAATGGACTTCTGATTCAACTCATTATTTCATCATGCATATAAAACAGGAGAAGATGCTTAAAACCATAACATATATTTATAATACATGGCTGAATTTGAGGCCACATAAACAAGACCATTGCATGTCTAAGGCAACATGGTTCCTGCAGCATTGGGATCCTGCAGTACCCATACAATGGGTGACATTCAAGACAGGAAACAGAAGCAAAAGTGACCACGGGACAACCCCTCTCTTCTTCCTGCACAATTAAGGTATTGCTGTTTTCAGATAAATATTATGCAATTTAATTGAAAACTGAGTCATATTCTTACATATTGCAATACCTACATTATACAAAACTTGGATGATTTTTATTATTTTTTTTATTTATTAGATATTGTCAATAGACAGTATCTATTGATATAGACAATATTTATTGTCAATAAACATCTATTCTTATCCTGACTCTCCCTATTCACGCTGGGCTGCTACCTAAAAGCCCCTACAAATGAAAAGACTAGCAAAGAAATCCTTTCACTGGACGTGGTACACTCCAACATGCCAGAAACACAAATCTCAGCAAGAAGGCATGCATTTTAATAGAAATAAGTCACAGGTAATACACTGTTTATTTTAAACCGGGTATTTTTTCATCTCCTTTTCCTCTCAGAAGAGTAACTTCTATCTGACCTACCAGTTGTGTGATCTGCAGCAAGTCCCAGCCACCCGTGGTTTCCTCATCTACAGTGCACTTAACACCACCTTGATGCTCACCCTTAACCTTTTCCAGAAACCTATAATGGAACTAGGGCGCCAATACTCACAAGAAAAAGCAAATGAGACAGAAGTGAAAATTCCTGTCTCCCTTGCACAAACACTTCTGGGTCAGGATGGAATGATTAGAATATATAAGATCACGTTCTGCAGATATTCTTGACTTGTTGGCATATAGAGAAAAAAATAGGCAGGAAATAGGGTTCTACAAAACACAGTAGCAGAACTATTTTATTAAAGACGGTAAGAGTCACAAGAAAATATATACTTACATTTTAAGTATGAGGGAAACCAAGAAGATGGTTTGTATAGAGAGCACACCCCTTTTTAGGCAACTGTCCCTTTATCCTTTACTTGTGCTCATAGCAGTGCTATGCATGAAAAGAGGGCAAAAAGCGCCAACGCCAGTCAGGAGGATAAATTGGCTCCCTGAAGACCATGAGATTATCTGTAGGCGTTCACCAACTCTTCACACACAGCCAGTCACATTCAGGTCTCAGGGCTTGGTCAAGTTTCAAGCACTTGTAATACCTACTTTCCTTGCCAAAAACTGAATTATGTCTCTGTACAGGCCTTCTTGTCTAATCTGAGCAAGAGATTACGCTTAGCGCCTGACAGCCCTTCTTTCCAGGGCAAAAGTGTGATAGAACAGACAACCAACCTCAAGAAACCATTTAGCGACACTGAATGTTTCACTTCACGACTCCTAGCACGCCGTTTACCACAGACATCTTATGCCAGTGATTACAGTAGTTTCTAGATGCAAAAAAAAAAATAAAATAAAAATAGCCAGAATACTGACAAAGCAAGTTCTTTTCCAGTTTGACCAAACGCTAGATCTCACTCCTTCTTTGGAATGTTTATATGGGAGATAAAAGAAAGGTTAGTCTCCTCAACAACACCAGCGAAACTATGCGTCGCAACTATTCCAGATGGCCAAGAACTTAACTCGTGTTGAGTTTTTTTCCATTGGAGACAGCTTATTTTTCCTTGCCGTAAGGAACTTACTTTTCCAGTTTGCGGGGGCAAGTGTTTGGATTTGAAATGAGACATCTGCTACTTGGAGGTTAGAACAGTGACCGCAAAGAAGCACATATAGTAGCCTTCCTGCTCAAGTTTCAAACTATGATGGACAGGGTTGCCTGAGGTCAAGGCTGTCATGAACTAGCTCCATGTTCCTCTTGGCCAGTGAACACCAGTAAAAGAATTGCCTATGGAGACAGCCAATACCTCTACGCATTACGTGTGGTTTTTTGCTCCTCCTTCCAGAATTCATGCCCGGGGGACCTAGCCTGTTTCTTGATTTAAGTGTTATCTATCTACATTTCTATTTAAAAAGTAACACGAGCGCTTCCATGTACTAATGTACATACACACGAGTACATATAGAGAGATACACGCCTTAGAGTCATGCATTTACATTATAAAGAACATGATACATTAATAAGTAACCCTTCCTAAGGATGCACTTATTACTCTGCTGTAGAGTGGCCATAACCTTTAAGTCTATGAAAGGATGCACTTATTACTCTGCTGTAGAGTGGCTTAAGCTTTACGTCTATGAATCTTTAACTCGTCGCAGTTTTCAAACTGCAGCGCAGGTTTCCAGTGAGACGATCTGCGAGAGGATTATATAGGAAAATAAAGATGTGTAGTTTAGTTCATAAAAAATATACATGCTATGTTACACATCATCAAGGTTGGGAAGACTCCCACTGGAGTCAAGATCCCAGTGTTCTAGGTATTCTACACAATCACCGAGAAATACTGCCACCCTCAAACACAAAGGGTTTGGAGGGAAATGGAGAAAAACAGAAACACTCAAGATGACAAAGAGCTCAAAAAATAATCCAGGCTACCTTTGACCAAGTCCACTTCATTACCCAAGGCCTGTACTGTTACCATCAGTAAAAATCAAAAGTGTGACTGAATTTTATATTGCCTTTGATTCTAGCAGCTTGATCAGGCACTTAAAGGATTATAAAGCTTTTAGATTTGCTTCTATGTTTCTCAGCAAGGAGAGGAGGTGAAGATGACATTAGAAACCAAGGTTGGAGGTCAGTCTTGCAGGTTTCTAAGGCCAGCTGGCCAAGTCTTGTATAGCCATAGGGTCATTAAAGCAGGTACTACTGGAAAACTGGTATCTTTAATTAATTTCTGATGGTTAAGTGCGGATGTGGTTAGAGACCACAGTGAGTTAGTCCCAATGTTGTTCTTGGCCAGTAGCTATAAACTATTGGTAGAGACATTTGTCTGTACTGGTACTCAGGAGACACCCAATTTTTATCCTGCCTGTGTTTCTTGAAACATTTATAGAATGCATATAAGCTAGGCTTGAACACTTCTGAGGGAACTCTAGAAGCCTGTGCATTTTAGGTTTTCCATGCATTAGCTGTGAAATGCTAATGTAATAAAACAAAAAGAAAAAAAAAATTCAATTTCCCTTGCTGTGCTGCTCTTTCTACCAACCATTCTTATTAGTAAAGTAGTGAAATCAAATTGTTATTTTAACTACTACCTTCATCCAGAGTTCTGCTTAGGTCCATTTAAAGTCTATGAAGACCAAAGGAAAACTTGAGCTGTCCTCCTCTGTTGCAAAGAGAATTTTATCAGGTAGCTCATATGTCCTGTTTTATTTACTTTATGGAAAAAAAGCATGCTTATGGGGTTTTAGGTTTTTTAAAACCTTTAAGGGCATGACTCCCGACCATCTTGTACAGGACACGTCACTGAAAAACAGAAGTTAGTTACATCTCCTTGCCAGCACGCCAGTCCTTATGCAAGCACTGACAAAGCTAATTAAGGAAACAAATTTCTCTTGTGTACATACTCGAATCAAACTGCCTTTGGAATACAGCCAGGCTCAGCTCCACCACCTATCCCCTTCTCCCAGTCAAACTGCAGTTACTTCCTCAGTAATTCTGGCTTCACGGCTGTTCAAAAAAGATTAGGAATTACAAAGATGTATTATTTCAAATAAGAATTTTAAGCATTACCCCCATTATCCTTGAATAAAGAGACAACCTGATAACAGCCAAAACCTTCCATGTATTAAGCTTCCATTTAAACTTCCTATTATACAAACTGAAGTGGAAGGACCACTAAATAGCAAGCTGGTTAAGTGCAAAATTGGGATTACAGGACAAGCATTTTTCAAACTTAACTGCAGCTCTGGAAAGTTCTCATAGGCAGCAAAAAGCTGCATGAAACTCAGTCTTCTGCCACATGAAAACAATATCTACCTAAGAATAATCCTCCCAAAACTGACAATGTTTTGGAAATAGGAATACACACACTCTTTGGCTGAATGTAAACACAAAACAAACAGTGAGAAATCCGAGCAGTGAGTGAGTTGACCACTGCAGAAATCAATTCCTCTTCAGTTTTCAATGTTCTTATTCTTATGCTGTTTCCTCTCAACACGTTGCTGGCAGAGTCACACGATAGGTTCTTTTATAGGTTTGCAGAATCCTTAAGTCTGGTGAATAAAAACTCCCTCTGCCCCTTCCAAAAAATGAAGGTTTTTTCTCCAAGCTGAAATTTTAGTAAGCCAGGAAGGTACAATAAAAACAAGGATAGAGTTATTTATGTCCTTTCCAGCTGATATTTTTAAGGCTTGGTTTTTTTTTTTGCTTAAACGTGAGAAGGCAATAAAAGTTACCCATGATTCGTGTTTCAAATAAATTCCTTTCAAATACAAATTACCAGATAGAAGATAAACATCCATATAATTTATTTCTCTGTGCTTCACAGCAGTAAGCTGGATGCTACAAACGTTTCTTTTCCTTGAAGAGCCTGGGTACACTCAAGAGACACCTCCCCAGGCCTCAGGATACTCAGTCCATTCCTATTTCAGTTACATACTCGCCTCACTACTCACCAGCTCTCGCTCTCAGTGACTCTCATCATTCTTCCTTTTTTATGTCCTTTCCAGCTGATATTTTTAAGGCTTGGTTTTTTTTTTTGCTTAAACGTGAGAAGGCAATAAAAGTTACCCATGATTCGTGTTTCAAATAAATTCCTTTCAAATACAAATTACCAGATAGAAGATAAACATCCATATAATTTATTTCTCTGTGCTTCACAGCAGTAAGCTGGATGCTACAAACGTTTCTTTTCCTTGAAGAGCCTGGGTACACTCAAGAGACACCTCCCCAGGCCTCAGGATACTCAGTCCATTCCTATTTCAGTTACATACTCGCCTCACTACTCACCAGCTCTCGCTCTCAGTGACTCTCATCATTCTTCCTTTCCCATGTACTTTGGTGCCCTGTAAACAACTGCTAGTTCACTTTCCAACTACCACCCCTTTTTGTTTTATTCCACCATTTTAGAGACAGGTATTTTTACAGAGGGCAGTTGTTAGCCCTCATGATGACAACAGAGAGCCTCACACTGTTCAGTCTGCTTCAACACCTCTCCAAAAGTTAAATTACTTAGGTAACAGTATTTTACAGATAGAGAAAAAAAAGTCCGAGTGACATTTGAAAAGCATTTCGAAAGTTTAGAGCTCTTAACTTGCAGACTCTCCAGTAATGGAACTCAGAACCAAAGTCATTTCAGGGTTTTTGACATTGCTGCTCTAAGTTATAAGCTAAAAGGAGTTGTGTGAGAAGTCAGAATGTGATTAAGCAGAGAACTGAACCAGGATCTCCAAGGTAAGAAAGCACAGAACAGCACATTCAGGTCACCAATTATGACTCAAAACATACTTTATTCAAAGAACAAGATTCATGGACAGAAAAATTAAGTCTACAAGAAAATGCAGCAGTAAAGAAAAATCTGATTCCTATTTAAATTAACTCATCAAGTTTCCTATTTTTGGTTAAGGTTCTGAACAATTATACATCTGTATCATATAGCAATATTGACATCGGAATTTAGTATTTCTGTAATAATATGTACCTGCAGAGCCTGCTCTCATGATAATGCTTGTATATTCAATAGTTTCTTCACAGATTCCTTATACTGAGACACGCTGTTTTCTGTTTCGCCCTCATTTTTAAGCGCAATTACAGAGTTTCTGTAATTCTTAACTACTTCGGATGCAAGAAGCTCTTCCTTAGTTACGTTGCTGACGTTCTCTGAGGCTTTTATTCGAAGTAGTGTATCCAACGCATTTTTCTGAGAGCAGCTGTTCTCCCAGATATACTCCTCCATGTCCTCCTCAGTCTTCTCACTCTCCCACATCTCAGTTTTCTGAAAGAAGACAGACGTCATCTTAAAAACTCCTCAGGACTGAAACACAGCTACAATAATTTGAGGAAACTTATCTCTCATACCAATTCACTTTAAAAATTACTGTCATTGTGGAAGATGTTTCCCCTCTTCTGAAGTCCGAGGCTTGTAACTCAAGCCTCAGAAGGTTCAAAACGTGCCTGTATGTTGTTCATTTTCTGTGCAGAATGAGTTTCTTTCCTCCCTCTTATCAAGTTCTTTGTGTATCTGGCAGATATAACTAGACAAGTCAAAATGGGTTGTTCATTTTCTGTGCAGAATGAGTTTCTTACCTCCCTCTTATCAAGTTCTTTGTATCTGGCAGATGTAACTAGACAAGTCAAAATGGTAAGAAAAGCTGATACACTACACATAATGAATAACAAAAACCTTGTCAAAATAATACTTTTGAATAAACCTAAATGCTCAAGCTTGGAAGTAGTCGCCTAGCTATTATGTCCCTAGCATATGATTTTGGTGTGCTTACACTGGCTATACGATGTGAAGTTAGACAGCTCATACCAAGTAACCTATAATGAGAGACAGCAACCCTCCACCATCTGGGAAATGTTTTAATTGTGACTCATAAGGAAAAGGACAACCAATTAATCCATTTCATCTTCCTGCAAAACAAATTGCTCCTCAAAAGAATCTGTCCTCAAGGTGCTAAATTTTACCTAACTGGTATTGCAAGATTAGACAGGATCAAAATTTGAAGACAAACAGAAGACATCATCCCTGTAAATACTTGGCTTGTGCAGTTTT